TTACTATACGCCCTCCGCGACCCGAGGGAGGAGAGAACGACGAGACTACCGCCTTCCTCCTACCTTCTCTCTATCTCTCCTTTCTACCCAAGTCGGTGCTTTCCTCCGAGGCGTGTACTTCCGCTTTAAATGTTGACGACGAACGTCGAGGCGCCGTCGGCTCGCGCAAACGCCGTCGTTGCTTCAGCAGCAGCCGCCTCAACGAACGTGTTCTACTCTTCCTCATAGGACGCCGATCAAATGGTCGACGTAAAATGGTAAGCATAAGAGGAAGTGAGAGAGTAGAATTTTATGTGTGCATCTCTCTCTCTCTCTCTCTCTCTCTGTATCTCTGTCTCTGTTTGTTTCTCTCTCTCTCTCTCTCTCTCTCTCTCTCTCTCTCTCTCTCTGTCTCTGTCTCTATCTCTCTCTTTCTCTCTCTGTTTCTCTCTCTTTCTCTCTCTGTTTTTGTCTGTTCCTCTCTTTCTCTCTCTCCCTCTATCTATCTATCTATCTATCTATCTATCTATCTATCTATATATCTCGATCTTTTCTCTTTCATCTCGACGATTTTCCGAGAGTTTTCCTTTCATATTTTATATTTCTTGTTTTCTTTTTCTTTCTTTTTTTTCTATTTTTTCTTTTTTTTTTTTAAGAAGTATGTACTTACTTCATTGTATTATCGATATCACGTTAATACCAATCTCATCGTGAAATTCAATCAGAGATTAAATTTAGAGAAAGAGAGAGAGAGAGAAAAAGAGAGAGGGAGAGAAAGAGAGAGAGAGGGAGATAGAGAGAGAAAAAAGAGAGAGAGAGTTTGATTTATGCGAAGACATCGATGCCCGGAAGAATGCGATTTATCGCGAGAGAGATCGGCCGCTTTCTCCCTTCGATGATTTCGATGACCGCGTAACTCAACGTGATCGAGACGTTTCTTCTAATTTATTGCGAACTTCAATAGATCGATTAGAAAACACGACGCATATAATATTTTCTCTGGAAGAGTGTAATTTCAATCAATTAAGAAAGAAAGAAAGAAATAAATAAATAAATAAATAAATAAATAAATAAATATTATCGTATAATTCGATATCTATTTTCTTAGCTTATAATTATATCGATTTCTAGACGAATTAAAGAGATTGAGAAAATAATTGTGAATTGAATCGAAAGTTACCAGTCATTACATTCTCCTTTCACTCGTTATTGTTTCGCGTTCAAAGATATCGAAAAGAGTTTTCTAACGACGAGAATAAGAAGGATAAAAAAAAAAGGAGATGTAAAAGAAGAAGAAGAAGAAGCAGGTACACGTTTTGCAATTCATGAAGGAGGTTAGCTAGGTAGGCAGGTACGTAGTAGATCGCAACGTCATTTGACAGAGATTACATCGTACTCCTCTAACGTGGAAAGTTTTAAGAATCAAAATGCATTAATCTCGTTGACTGTTTCTCTGTTGTTGCAACTTCGAACTTCGTAATCGCGTTTACGTGACGGCCTTTCTAGGTCTTCTTATGAATTACCTTCTGTTTCATTTCTAACGTGTCTTCGTTTGTTATGAACATTAAAAGCCAACAACAGCAATATAAGCAGCATCAGCATTAGTATCATCAGCAACAATATAACCAACTTTTTCGCGGAGAACTATACACTCTTGAATCAAAATGTAATAAAATGTATCTTCATCTGTAATTATAACGATCGTTCCCGATTCGTTCTCGAGATGGTAAATATAATTTCAGAAGGCAGCTATAAAATTTCACAGCTTCGTCTCGTCAATTTTCTCTCTCTCTCTCTCTCTCTCTCTCTCTCTTTCTCTCTTTTTTTTCTTTCATTCAAAAAAGAAAAGAAATAGAGAAAGAGAAAAACACGGAGAGCGCACCGATCTCGTGCGAACTAATTTTACGCTAACGCTCAAGCTGACTCTATGAAATATTCGGAAGTCGTTCCTCTTAACTCGATTCGAATTCATTCACTGTGTAACTCTCGTGGAAGCGGAACGAGACACTTCCAGAAATACGAATATTTTTCGTTATAATGGGATTACAAAAAACATAGATAACGAAAATTCATTCGCGAGAGAAAAGTATCTATTAGAGGTACTATATTGTGCTAATGTATTTGTGTCCTTGAGATGACAACGATGACGATGACAATGACAACGACGACGACGACGATGAAAAATGATGTGTTTGCTTAAACGAGTTCGTAGAAATTTGCCGTGAGCAAAATTTCGCGGGATATCAGGGAAGCGAGCAAGTCGTTTCTACAGAACGTAAATGACCGGCATAATGACGGTAATACGTGTGTGGGCATTATCTGCACGCGTTTGCATTCTTGCGTGGAACAGACGGTTTGCCTCTTGCAATTTCTTTTCCCGATGCCAATGATGCCAATGGTGATGGTGGTAGTGGTAGTAGTGGCATCGGTGGCAGCATGCCGCTTGTATTCTCTCATCCACGCGATGACCCGTGCATTTTTCGAGGTCACGCGAGAACCATCAAGTCATCGCGATAGTATTACAAGCTTAAATATAATATATTCTATTCGTCTCTCTTTCTCTTTCTCTCTTCTTTAGTTGAACTTCTTGTTTTTTTATTTGTCTAAAAAGACAAATTACTAGTATACAGGTAAATTTTTTAAATTTTAATTTAAGAAGAGCAGTGATTGAATGATAAGAAATGATAAAAAAAGCAGATAATATTAATGCTTATAGATACTTGTGATAAAAAAAAGAAATATATATATATATATATATATATATATATACATATGTATGTATATATAAATTAAGTACTCATATAAGAATAATCTTTTAAAAGGACGTCGACCGAAAGATTTTTCATGATAATGGAGAAACGCGATATTTATATTACGATCGATCCGTTTAAATTCATATCGTTACTTTATTAATGTCGTAGGAATGTCGAAAAGCCAATGTTTTAGTATTTATACATGTATCAATCATATCTTTTTTTTATTGAATTGAATGAATTATGGAAATATGACATTTATTACTTTCTTATGATCGTTCGGTCACTATATCTCGTTCGATTCGAAGTTGATCAAAGAAGTGTGGAAAAAAATATATTAAAAAAAAATAAGTATAGAACAAAAACGTTATACCGATTGACGTCATGTTTGTGATTTTACTTTCATTATCAGAAAAAGATCGTCAAACGATTTCGTCAATTCTATTTTGGTTCTCGTCGGGTAAAATGATCAAGAGACTATATAAATTAAATATATTATTAATTAAATAGATTATACATTTTTTATCGACAAAACTAAAGGATCGTCTTAAAGAGTTCGGTGTTAATTAGATTTTGATTTTTGTGAAAAATTGAAGGGACCATTTACATATATGTCAGACGAACACGAAAACATTGGTTAGAGAGATTCTATATAAATTCAAATAAATTTGCTGAAGGTGCGAATTAAATATAACATCCTAATAATTTGAGATGTACCGTTTTCTATTAATAATTATAATCTTAAGATCGGAGCGTGTCGGTTCAAGAGAAGAGAGGTTGGAACGCGTCTTTGGGTTCAGGAGAGATCGATAAATCTAAACTGTCTATTTGTATTTATAATCGTTAATTTCGTTCGCACGATCTTCCTCCTTGTTATATGTTGTCACGATAGTGTTATACGATCGATCTGGATGGCTACGGAAACATTTCGGATCATGTTCCTGCTGAGTTTTCGCGCTCTCTTTCCTTTCCTTCGGTCTGGCCGATTATATTTGTAGTCGTTAAATCGTGCGAGAAACCAATCTGATTCGATTTGTTTTCTTTGGGACGTTCTCGAGCCTGCTCGTTTCGTGCCGATGGCGAGTTAATTATCTTAGAATCGTTATCGTTTTTCGTCGATGCCGATATATGACGATGAGTTTAGAGTTTCTGAACTTTATTAGAAAAGTACAGGAATATATTTCTGGATAATATCGATAAAAATGAGAACGAGTTCGGAGACGACGATCCTAGCTTATTTCGATCCTCCTGCTGTTAATCCCATGTCAATCATAAATAATTGCATTATTCGATAATCTTTATATTGCTTTATAACTTATCTATCTACCCTATCTACCTACCTACCTATCTACCTATCTACGTTAGACTATCACATATTCCGAAGATTATAAATTAATATTATTCTTAATTAAAGTCGATTTATTTCGGAATATTCTCTCTTTCTATCTCTGACATAATTAAAATAAATTAACTCACAACGGTAAAATTATCGTTACGATCGAAACGCAACTTAATCTCGGCCATAAATTATTCCTCTTATTATCGGTAAAACACAAATGGAAGGATATATTGTCTATCGTCGTTCCTCTTAATCAAACAAATTTCTACCAAAAAATTTTCATTTATATCAAAAGTTATTACGAGACAAAGTTTTTTGTTTTGTTTTATTTTGATTGGATAAGAAATTAATTCCGACTGGTCCTGTTTAAACGTAGAAGGTGTTTCCATTAACTAAGAAGAAATACGTCATCCTTCCGAAAAAGATACTAGTGAACGAATATGCGAAACTCAAGGCATAATACGATTTTTACGAGCGGAAACGCGAGTAGTAGGATTAAGGCATTATGGTTGATCTATCTAACAACCGGAAACGAAACGCAATGATATCGGTTAACCGACAGATTCAGTGATAACTTTGAACGTATGTAGATATCTAGGATTACCGTGTGAATTGGTAGCAACATTTAAATAAGAATTATCTATTAATATCGTGTTAAATATACGAACGGAAATCTTCTTTTTCTTTTTTTTTTCTTCCTGCTACTAATCTATATAACTGAATAACGTTATGATATAAAAGGAAAAAAAAAAAAAAAAAAAAAAAAGAAAAAGAAAATAAAATAAAATAAAAAGAAACGAATGAAAAAAGAAAGAAACAAAACCAAGATTTTATCCTGGTTTAAATCCGATTCTCATAAATATTTGATTGTAAAAGTACGAGGAAATGGATACATTTACTTAAATATTTCTTCCTGAGAAAAATCTTACCTTCTGGTCCTGCTGCTGGAGCAGTTGTTCCCTGAGGAGTTGCAGCTGAAGGATCATCTCGGAGAGCCTACGTTCTTTCTCAACGATGCTCTCGGCGCAGAGGACCCTATGAAGGGCCGCTGCACCGTCCTGTTGAACCTGTCCTTCCGTGTTTTGTATCCTGCTTGTAGCTGGGGGCGAAGGAGGCACGTTGTTCGCCACGTTACCGGCGTTTCCGCTGTAAACATAAAAGTAACGCTATTAAATCATGCTCTATTTAATTTCTCTCTCTCCCTCTCTCTCTCTCTCTCTCTCTCTTTCTCTTTCTCTCTCTCTCTTTTTCTTTCTCTTTTTCTTTATTTTAATCGTACAGTTACATTTCCCGACAACCGGTTTGAAATGTATTTTTCTATAGAATACATATCTAGCGTTATTCTTCGTATATTAATCCCTATACTCGCTTATCTCATACATTGATTTTTAAATTATCTTAGAAATGTTCTAATGTTCGTGATATATTAGGCAAAAGAACAAAGATAATAATGAAAAAGAATTAACGATCACAATAACGATGATAATTAACTTCACTTAGATCGAATGTATACAATCCGTATTTATACTTGATCTAAGAATAAAAATTCGCAAGTATCTATTATAAAAACATACATATATGTATACAAAAAGAGAGAGAGAGAGAGAGAAATGTTTGAAATGAGAAGTTAACAAGGACACGAGTGCTTTGTGAAAAAAGAAAAAGAAAGAGAAAAAAAGAAAAAAAAGAAAAAAGGCTGGCAGCCTTTCGAAGACTGAACGAAAAGTCCGAAATAGTAGATGCAAAAGCTCGTGTAGGAACAACACGAAAGAAGACAGTAGTGTAGTGGAACGTAATGGTACTGGTGAGGAGGATGAGGATGTGGATGAGGAGGAGAGGAGGCAGAAGAGGAAGAGGTCGGGAGTCAGGTGAATAATAGATAGGGTCGCGGCCACGCAATCACGGTGAAGCGAGTGTTTGCACCCGTGATGGGCCCTCCCCGGAGCGCACTCCGTCCCTCCTCTCTCGATTCTCAATCCTCGAGAGTTTCCTCTCGCCGCGCGCCGCAGGCTCTTCCTGCCTCTTTTATGTCAGGGAAAATGGACCACGAATAAGTGATACCCTGCCGGTATTGTGGTACTGCCAAGAGAGAGAGCATCGTTGGACTCTTTCTCTCTTTTTCTCTCTTTCTCTCTTTCTCTCTCTCCTCTCTCTTTCTATCTTTTTCTATCTGTCCGTCTATCTAGCTCTCTCGAATCACTCTCAGCCGGACAACGAGGGTTACCCCGACGACTTCTCATTCAACGCATCGAGGACAACGCAAAGATTTCCCGGTGAAGAAAGAAAGAAAGACAGAAAGAAAGAAAGAAAGAAAGAAAGAAAGAAAGAATCATAAAACGTCGGAAGACCGTCCTTCGTAATCTAGGTCGACGCATGTCCAAGGCGTTGAAGTCTCGGATACTGCAGTATATAAAGAAGATTCTTATTCCCTTCTCTCTTCCTCTCTTGTCTTTCTTTTGACTTTTTTCTCTGGTCTCATTTCAACCAGAATTACTTATCTACTCTCTCTCTTTCTCTTTCTCTCTTTCTCTCTCTTTCTTTCTAGGCGATTCACCATTTATATTTATTATTCGAAATTATATTATTTATTTAAATGAGAATTAATTTATTGATATTATTCCGACCAATCAATATTTTCAAATAGATAGATATATACACGTATATATGTTTAAATAATTGACGATACAAATGTCCATAGATTATGACAATATTTTATAGATTATTCGATTATAATTGATATTTACGTCTTGAATAACGATTAATTTATAAATATATGACGATCTAATTCTAATTAACTCCTATTTATTTTTATTTTCTTTTTTATTTTCAGCATAAAATATATTCAGGGTCGCTTAGGGCACAGGGAAAGAACGTTGGTTCTTTCAGAAACGTTGGGTGCACGTTACGTTCGGCCTGTAATTAGCGAAGAAGGCTTCTTATCCGCGCTCGTCCATGAAAGGCTCCGGCTGTGCATGGTTTTCTTTGGACCGATAATATCGCTGCTCAGAGGAGAGGGAGAGAGAGAGAGAGAGAGAGAGAAAGAGAAAGAGATAGATAGAGAAAGAGAGAGAGGATCATGGCTTCTATTCGCGCCCAGTGACCTCGCTTCTCCTGTTGGCCTTCCGCCACCCTGGTACTCCCGACAAAAGGCTCATTCTGTTATTATTATTACGCGCTAAGAGATTCGAAGGGCTTTATTTCCTACAGATGGTGTAAGAGATAAATGGACACCTAGCTGTTGGCTGCTTCTCTTTGTACGCAATTAGCTTTCGAATTGGCTTTCTAAGCAAAATACACATACACATGCACATACATGCATGTACACAAATATGAACGCATAGATAAAGCACATATACAAATTTTAATTAAAATTTGTACAAGCGAATGTTGCAAAATAATATTGCGAAAGATTTTTCTAAATATCTATTTTAATCGGAAATATATGTTCGATCGATTAATCGTTTATATCTTATAATCTTATAATCTTCAATCTTTTATTAAGTAAAAATGAAAATAATCCATTATTCATGGAGTTCTTTCTTTCTTTTCTCTTTTCTTTTTCCTTTTTTTTTTCTTTTTTTCTTTTAATTCGATCGACGATGAAAATACATTATACGTAACGTTGGAAATCTCCCCGTAACATTCTCGAGACGAAAGGTTTACGAGAAAAGCTCGTTCGATAGGGAACACGTCACACATAGATAGAATAGAGAAGACGTCTTGTAACACTGTTATCGGTCTCACTCGGAATAACGTTACGCTCGTTCCAAAGGCTTTTATCGAATAACGTTTAAATTTAGAATGTCTTAAGGCAACGTACAGGACGTTTAGTCGTTCTCCCTCTCCCTCTCTCTTTCTCTCTCTCTCTCTCTTTCTCTCTCTCTCTCTCTTTCTCGTATTCTTAGTTACTGGTCATCCATATCTATGGATAGACGAGCATACGCCTCGTAA